CATCCCTGAGCGGTCGAGTTTGTGAGCCACCGGCGCCTCCGAAACCACCTCCACGTACGCTTTATTCGTTCCTTATCAAGTCTTACTCCTGATTACCATCAACACATCGATAATTTACTCAATCAACATGAAAGTTCTCTTAATCATATCTGAAAAGCTTCATTCAATTTTGTTGTGAATATTGCTACGCCATTACTGCTATTACATTTAATATGATCATTATCTCTGTACTCATCTCAATACCGAGTGAATATGGATTATCCTATTGTATCGAGTGTTGCGCTATTAGAGTTATTATCAGTATCTTTTCCTCTTATCTCTATAATTGATGTTCATTTGGAGCTTCAGGTCATCCATGTCAAGATCCGTTATTGAATGACTGTCATCCGGCAGGCACGTGTCGTGCAACTGGTGCGCAGACGTACACTTGCGAATGCTTGAAAGGATACGTGGATCGTTCACCAGACGTAAGCAGTAAACCTGGCCGAGTGTGTGTTCTCACCGAACCAGTTTGCCTTGACGCCACTCAGAACGATTGTCATCCAGCTGCGATTTGTAGTGAAACTAGTTCTGGTGACGATAAATACACATGTAGATGTCGTGATGGGTACATTGACCAGTCGCCTGATAAAGTATCACGTCCTGGAAGAATCTGTGTTGAAATGGTACTTTTTTCGAAGGAATCTTCTTGAATGAATTTTTAAAATAACTTTTATGCAGTGAACGACTGAAATAAAGTTTCACAAATGAATGAAGGTTTAAATGTTTTCAAATGAATTTTCGCTAGGACCAATACTCTTTGAAAATGATTGTTTAACTGCGGATTATTATGTGATCTGATGCAACTTCACTGATTTGAAGAAATGTTCTCGATTCAGATAAACGAGTGCTTGGATCGCTCGCTGAATGATTGCGATCCACTTGCCGTTTGCCAGGATCTACCCGATGGATACACTTGTCGATGTCCTGTTAATACCGAGGATCGATCGCCGGATCCGAGCCGGCCCGGGCGTCGTTGTTATCAGCAGGTGAACGAGTGCAGAAATCCATCGTTAAACAATTGCTCTCGTTTCGCCGATTGCGTCGATCGACCCGAGGGATACGAATGCAGATGTCGCGAAGGATATCATGACGATAATCCTATCCATCCGGGCACCGTATGCAATTACAGTGAGTTGCTACATTTATATCATAGATGAGATCAAGCCGCTGGATGAGACTTACTTGAAATAACTGGTTTTATTCACATTGTTCAATAAAATTACTATGTTTTTCTGGAATGAACGGAGTTTTTTGCTATTTTCAAACTTCAGCCGAAACATGTTCGTTACTCGGTTTCAATCGTAGAGAGTTGTCAACTGCTTGAAACTATCGTCGTTCTGAGCGTAATTCCCATATCCCCAAATGATTGCTTGGCTCATATTGATGAAAATTTCAGTAATAAATGAATGCGAGTCATCAAATCTGAACGATTGTGATCGTCGTGCAGAATGTATCGATCTAGCTGGTGGTTACGAGTGTCGCTGCAAGGAACCGTATCGAGATGAGTCTCCGCCAGGCCAGCCGGGTCGTATTTGCAGACTGAACGAATGTCTTGATGTGAATCTGAATCATTGCGATAAGAATGCTGAATGCGAGGATCTTGATGATGGCTACGTGTGCAGATGTAATCATGGCTTTTACGATAACTCACCCAATCCTCTTGAACCCGGACGTGTGTGTGTTGGTGAGTTGTCGGTGCTACTCTTAACATTAACAGGCCACCTACAAATCCACTACTCCATCCGAAAAACAAAACAGTGCTAACACTGATACGTTCTGTTGTATTCGTCTCGTTTACAAATCAGTAATCAGAACTGTGCTAATTGAACTACATCATTTTCTTTGCAAATGAGTTTCATTAAAGCAGAATCTATCCTTCTGTCGAATGTAACTCCAGCAGTGAATTCATTCGTAGACTGAAACAGTAATTCGAAATTTTTCATGAGCAAAACTTTGACTTGGCCAATGTGATCTAAAAGATATTTGCGTTATAGAATTCCAAAAAGAGCATGCAAATCGAGTGATTTCGCAAGAACAAGAACGCCAGCAACAACAAGAAGAGCAAACTCGAGTTGAGGGCATTCCATGTGGTCGTAACAATGTTTGTTTGCTGGCCAGGAATGAAGTTTGTGTTGGTGGTGTTGAGTGCTCGTGCAGGCCCGGTGAGGCGAGAGCGAGCAGTGACGATCGCTGTCAAGCTGTTCACCAAACACCGCTCACTTTACGTATTCTCACACGTGACGATGAACCGTTGATATACAGCAGTGAATACGGTAACAGTGATAGTGTTCCATATATCGAGATCACTGATCTCTTCTCAAGAGATATCAGTCGATCCTTCGGCGGCACCGCCTATGCTCCACGATATGTAACCACTGAAGTCAATTACATAACACATCCAAAGACCGTCAACAGGTTTATATTCGTATTTCGAATGGGTCAGGCTTATGGTTTTTTTTTCAGTTGTGAATTGTTCACGGGAACGTAAAATCGTTCTCGTTTTCTCTGTATCCATGTCAACAAGTTTAATTTGCTGAGAATAAAACGGCAATCAAATTTTCATGTTCGAATGTCGAGGTGTTTTTTTTGGCGTCTGGTAATAGGGTTCAATTTTAGTTCATGGCCTGACGGGCTATTGTTCAACTTCACAGTTGCTACAAGACCAAGTCAGCAGGATGTGGACGCATGTGACCTGTGGGATCAATTAATGTTATCACTGCAGCGCTCGAATGGTGCTGTCGGTGGTGGTTCCCTTCATATAGCACCCGATGTTGAGCAACTTAATCCATGCCATAAGCAGTTGCCGCACGGCGATTCATGTGGCCAGAGCTGGTGTAATAGTGACTTAGGAGAGGTATCCATTCATGAGCTTTTTTTTTGGATGAATTTCTATTGAAAATATTCTCAAACAACAAGTACAGACCATTGAAATTCTGAACTTATTGAACCAATCGTTGAAGGTATGCATTGCCGGATCAGTATGTGGATGTCCACGTGGAGAAAAGCGCGTATCATCAAGTGATGTGTGTCATGCAGTCGAATCATGGAATGTGCTTCTGTGGGTGATCCGGAGAGGTGCGGAAAATATCGTCTACAACGAAACATTCGCTAATCCGGTCGACTCTCTCAATAAGGAATACGTACGACTATTCGAGAGTGGTGTGGCACAGTGCTATCCACATACAGCGCTTAGAGGTTCATTCGTGTCAGCTGAGGTTCGTCTTTTCTCAANAACTTCATATGTTTGTTACTTCACTTGTCATTGTTTGATTTCTGTTTTTGATCAGTTCTCTTCTCAGGTTAACGAAATAATTGATCCAATGAATGTGAACGCAAGCTGGAATACGGGTATACTGTTCAACTGTACGGTGTATTTCCGTAAAGGAGCTGTACAGACATCATCAGATGCCTACTATACTCTAATCAGATATATAATCGATCGTAATAACTACCAGATTGGTGAATGTGGCCTCTACATAAATCCTTATCAATCGGATCCATTCAAAGCCTGTTTCAAGGTTCGATTCATTGCGAAATTTTATGTATGAAGCTTGCAAGCATTCGGATGGAACATATCTGCAGATTTTATTGCAAAATTATGTGCTAATTGTAGGTGTGAACATATTTCTGTTACAGAATAATTGTCATCCAAAAGGTTTGTGCATTGACACGGGACCGAATGCGTACAGATGTGAATGTGGTCCAGGATACAGAGATCTAAATCCATCAGATCCGGGTCATCGTTGTTTGCCGAATATCGGTTACAACGAATGCGAACGCAGGGAGGACAACGAATGCTCCGAGAATGCGCGGTGTATTGATCAGGTAGGATTGTTTATAACCGATGATATCTTGTGAACACCAGTGAAAACAGCAGTTGAACGTGAAGAATTTTGCNTCGTTCACGGACGCCTCTCCGGCAGGTTCAGTCCCGGGAAGTGTTTGTGTGCTCGACTATTGTTCAGATGTAAACTTCTGTCCTGCAAACACCACTTGCGTGAATCTCGAACAACAAGCTGAATGCCAGTGTGAACCAGGATTTGTGGACATTCGCAGAAGTGAAAAACGAACGCAACTGTTGAAACAGTCCGAGACGTTGTGTCTGAGGTTGCGTGATGTGGATGAGTGTGCACTTGGCTTAACGAATTGTTCGGGTGTAGCCGAATGTACGGATAAGACGATCGGTTACGATTGTCGTTGTCCAGAGGGTTATATCGATGGTAATCCAGACGAACCAGGTCGTGTGTGCGGTGCACTGTTGTGCGATTTGTGCAATCAACATGGTGACTGTGTTCACAATGCATTAACCAACAATATCACTTGTGTTTGTTCGGATGGATGGAGTGGCGAGTTCTGCGATGTGGCTCCTTCGAATGCATCACTCATACTACTCATCATTCTAGCCATTCTCTTCCTTTTGCTCACTTTATGGTTCGTTTTCAGTTACGCTTCCTCATTTGTAATGAACTCATCCTATGCTCATTCATCTTTTTCACTTCTTCGCTTTAAGGTGAATGCGTATCGCTCGATTATGAGATACGCTTTTTGTGATAGAAATGAGAACGGAAAGCGATCAATTGGTGTATTATTGAAGATAATTAGTGATCGAATAATGTTAAGTGTTATTCTGAGAACGGTAATGAAACAGCAGTTCTAATTGCAGTTGTTTGCTGTATTTCTGTACCAAATGCGTATGCTTCAAAGGACGCGGTCTATTCTATCGTGAGCCGTACACATATCGTAAAGGAGTTTGGCCATGGTCTACACTTGAAGCATCGACCTCAAGTGAGAGTGGTGCCGACTTTTCGGCAATGAGTGCTGCTGGTCATGACTATTATCCGGAAATCGGTTAGTCTCATCAATCATTTTCTTGATTCTTCAAGAGGCATTCCATTCAAACTCTTCGCCGTCTTCAAATCAGAGATGATCCACTGTGTGATTTCAGGTATTCCTCGTGCTAAACTGAAGTCGGGAAGTGCGATGACGGATTCGGATCACCATCAAGCGTCCTCACTTGAAGTGGCACGACTGCAGAATTATTTGGATGATGGTGTTCGTATTCCAAGAGTGCGAATTGATCGAGAGGATGACGGTTACGATGCCACATCGGTGTCATCTTCTGAGTACACAATTCGTGAAGAAGTCGAAAGACGTGTCATCACCGATGTCACCAAGACTGAAACACGCAAAACGACCACTCAAGCTGACGTTCACGGCAGCACCACCGCTGAATTCCACGTCTATCCGCCGATCGAAGCCGAATCTGAATCACATTCGTCGTCACAGGTTCTTCGCCCTCCTCACATTACATCCAAATCAAAATATACTGAAATTACATAGCGCAAATTATAATTTCAACGACTGCTATCTGTTACGAATTGTATAATCAATGTTGATTTTTTGAAAATTCTGTCAGAAAGATAAGATGCGATTGAATCGAGCACATTTGTTTGTTTGTCTACAGATATTATTCTGAGCTAATGTCGCGTGAGCGATGCTCGTCTTATCATTCATTAATTAAGTTTGAAATGCACTGAACATGGCTTACTGTTCATTTGTGAGCGGATGATCCACAATCAGTGAATTATTCGGTTCATTGATGTTATATAATATCCGATATGTATGAACAAGGAAAGTGACTTTTGAAGTCACAAACACACTAAAATTATGCGTTTCAAAATGTGAAAAATTCAGCCAAATAGTCATCAAATTAGAGTTGTTCGTTTTTTCAGATGGCAATGAGGAGTGCGAGAAGTGCCGAGGAACAGGAACGAGGCGAAAGTGTTGCAGAATTCAGCATCGGAAATGCAGCACGTCACGAATGGAACGGTGCCGGTAATGGTGGTGGTTACGGTCATCGCATTTCACAGTACAGTACAACGGTAAGACACCACTCGTTCTGTTAAAGCAATTCTTTACATTTATATCATCTTCTGCGAACTGATATTGATATTCATTGACACTTTGGTTATCACTGATTAGTGAGATGGGCGTAATGATAATTTTGGTAAACTGAATGAATGAATTACGATACCGGTATGCGAAATCATTTTGTAATGTTGATGTGAATTGAGAGAAGATACAAAATTTAGGATCGTGATCTGGAGTCGATAGCGAGTGGATCAATAGCTGATGACGAGATATACGATCGAAAGACTTTGGTGAAACGATCACACGATTATGAGCCGAGTATGCATGGAGGCACAGAGAGATATCGTACAGAAGTGACAACGACCACGAATATGAGAGGAATGAATAATTTTTGAGTTGAAATGCGATCTTCTCTGTTCCCTTTATTCGCTTATCACTTCAACTCTGTTGTTCTGTTTTCATCACTTCTTGACGATTGCACGAATTGAGTTAAGGCAAATCGTTAAAAATTCGAACTCTTTGGAGAACTTTCGTGATTTCTGAAACGTCGTGAACACTCAAATCAGCGATCTTTGAAATGTTGTATAGCGTCAAAAAGTGATGAATGAAGAAGTGCATTGAATGTTAATGATGCAGTACGTGTCGATCAGTCCTTGCCTTGGACGCAAGTCTGAAAAAAAAACCCATTGTGCCAACAATTTTATATCTTAAAAATTACTTTTTTTCTGTTCTCTCGTCTCAGATTTTAGCTCTTCACGATGTTTTGGTGCATCAAAAGTTTATTTAATTTCTTGCATTTGATTGTTTTCATTATCGTTTCATCTCTTTCAAGTTCCGTTGTTCAGATGCCTTGACTACTGCTTTCAATAGTGTTGTTCACTAACTGCCCAAACGTTGCCTTGAGACGACGGGGAGAATTGTTTTGTTTGGTCTTTGATATTATGCATTTATCAGTTTTTGCACTATCGATTCTTCTGTGTCTTTTCACTTTCTTGATCCATTTTTTCTAAATTGTGCGTGTAAACATTCGGTGAATAAATTCTTTTATCATTTTTATGCACTGAATCATTTTCATTGAAAAAAAAACCGTACAGCGGTACAATCAGATTCAATTCGGTATAGTCGACGATTACAAACTTTCGAAAGGTAAATGCATTAATTTAAAAGGAGTTCAAAGAATTGAATCAGCAATGAGAGACTTTAAAAGTGATAGGTTTTTCGTGATGGGTTGAAAGTTGTATGGAAAAGTATTCTCAGCATATGACCAATTATATTACCTCGAATTGGCACTTCTGCTGCTGCTGCTGACAGGGGTGCAGTCAAAATTTAAAACCTTCGGCATGTTTATTTGAGATAGACACCAGTTCCACGAGGTGATGATGACAAATCTGAGGAATCGACACAAATGTAATTCCACCCTCGTATCGCGTTCTGATCAATCGAATTTCCTAAAAAAAATGTCGAGAGGTTTTGAGGGTTGCAAAAACGCAGACTTCGAATTGCAACTTCCAGAACAACGACGTTGATGGAGAATACTGTTTTATG